ATTTGGAAAAAAAGGAAAAAAAAAAAAAAAAGGAAAATGGTTTTAAAAAAAAAATTAATTAAAAATATTTGAAAAAGTTTACCCTGGAGAATACAAAAATAATAATAATAATAATAATCAATTCCTTTTTTTTTTTGGTTAAAAGGAGATAACGGTTATAAAAATTAAACTGAGATTTACCGGAAGCGGGAAAAGAAAAAAAACATCCCTTCTGGCGGGTAACAATCGAGCCAATAAAAAATATTTAAGGGCGGTCACGTGTTTCTTTATTGGAAGTTGCTTAGCAACAATTGACCTTCGACCCTTAATCTTAAAACTAGGCCTTTATTTTCTTAGTTTTAATAATAAAAAAAATATTTTCCACAAAATAAAAATAAAAAAAAAATTTTCTTTTCCTCCTTCCTTTCCCCGTTTCCCCCGTTTCCTTCTTTTTCCCTTTTTGCCTCCCCTCCACCTCTCCCTTCTTCCACTCCTTCTTATCATCAATTTCAAAAAAACATGATAAAAAATAAGACGAAAAAAAAAAAAATTATTTATTTCTCTATTGACACGATATTCGCGTAACCGCGTATAACCAAAATTAAATTTTAATATTATTATTATTATTGACTTCGATACGAAGGAGAGAATGGTACGAAATATTATAAATTTTCCATATATTTTAATAATATCAATAAAATATAATCAATAAAGTTTAATAAAATAAATAAATAAATAAATAAATATGGTGACCGAAAATAAATATTAGAAAACGCCCATAAATTCGATAAATAAACTCTTTGCGTTTTTTTAAAAGGCGTTTTTATTCAATGGAAAATTCGTGTTTTATTTAAATAATAATAATAATAATAGATTGTTTTGTATTAGGCGGTGGCACCATCACCACCACCACCATCATCACCATTAAATAATTTAATACGTTATAACAATTGAAATAAGCACACATATTAATACATAAATACATTTTTTTTTTTATTTTTTATTCTTCCTACACTTTTTACCTGTAATAACAAACAACAAACAACAACAACAACAACATTATGATTTTATACAAATGATTGACGTAAAATCAAAGGGATAGAAAAACACACGTAAAAGTGTTAAATTTAAAAAAATTAAAAAAAGTTAATTTCCTTTATGTAAAAAACAAAAAAAAAAAAAATTGTTTAATTTGTCTGCTGCTACGTTTTTTTTTTTTTTTTTTAGGTTTTCGTTCGTTTAACAAATGTCGATTTTGTTTCTATACCTATCGATATATTTTCCTTAACCTAAATAACAATTTGATATTTATCTTATTTTTTTTTTAAATTTTAAAACAACCGTAAAAATTATCATTATTAATAATTTGTTTAGAGGGGTTTGTTCGTTGTTGTTGCTTTTTGTCGTTATTATTATTATTATCTTCACACTAATTTTTTTTTTTTTACCTTTGACACGGTCTGTAAGATTTTATTCGATTTTTGTTTTATCGATGAATTATATCAGGGATAATTTGAGCTTTTAATTATCGATAAAGAAAATTTTTGGACAAACCTGGATCTCCCCCCCCAAATTTTTATTTATTTATTTTGATTTTATTGGCGTTTAGGTAAGTCATGTTTTTTTTTTTTGAAAAAAAGGGATTCGAGAATATTTATTACGTAATATATATATTCGCACGGGAATAATTTTTTTTTTTTTTGAGAGGGAGGAAGGGGGATGAGGAATTTTCTATATGGAAAAAGAAAAGAAGAGGAAGAAAAAAAAACAGGAGTAAGAATATTGGAAAAGTTTTCGATGTTTTATGAAATTTTTTTTTAATTTTTTTTTTTTTCTTTTTGAAATTTAAAAAGAAATTTAAATTTTTTCACCGATATATATATTTTTGATTTTTTTTCTGAAAATTTGTATTGGAAATGATTTTTTTGTTTTTAATTTTTAGCAGAAAGAAAATTTTTTCGACTTTTCAAAGTAAAAATTTTTTTTTTCTATGTTTAAATGTTTTTCTGTGCATCGCTTTTAATTTTTGATATTTTTCAAGTATGAGATGTAATAATGATTTATTTTATTTAATAAATACACCTGATTAACTTTTAATAAGATTTAAACGTGTTAACGATTTGTTTATACTGATTTAAATTAGAAAAAATATTTTGGGGGCTGTGATATATTAATATTGATTAAATATTTTCCAAAAAGCCTTTAACCAAAAACATTTTCTTTTTTTTACATATAATTTAAATAAAAATAATTAAAATCTGTCGTGTGGATTTTTAATTATTAATAATTTTGATTTTTTTAAAACTCAATTTTATATTTTTAAAAACAATTAACACCTGAGATAAAACAATTACGTCATTAATTTATAATTGGTTTTTAAATGTGCACGAGAGACATCTAACGAGTAATAATAACACTATTTAAACTGTTTTACAAATATTTACAATAAAGTGTTTTAAAATTTAACTTGTGCGAACTCTATTAACAGTAAGTGTAACTACAAACAAAAATAAATAATAGATGGCAGTAGTTTATAAAAGTTATAAAATTAATCAGTAGAGTGCGCGATTTCAACAACGTATAGTTCATTTAAGTGACACCCAAATAAGACTTAACGTCTTTATATAATTAAATTTGTTAATTTTTGTAAATTTTTTTTCAAAAGAATGCAAAAAATCAAAATTAAAAGTAAAAAAAAAAAAAAAAGGTAATTGAAATTTTAAAAAATTTTTTTGACAATTTAAAAAACAGTTTCGGGCAAACAAATATTAATTTTCCAAGGATGAATGAATGAATGAATGTTTGGGTAGTATCTAAGAAACAAAATGTATAAAAACAAATATTATTATATTTCGATTAATAAAAGTAAAATTTTTTATGGCCGTTTTCGTTCCACAAAAACAAACGATTAATGTTTGTTATAAATACCTTATAAAGCAACAATGATATAAAATGTTTGTCGTCATTTTACCCTTAACAATTTTAATAGCCTCGACCTATTTAATTTATGTCAGCAATCCTGTTTATAATCGACAGTCAAAGACCTTTAATTAATTCTCCTTTTTTTTTTTTTTATGGTGTTATTAAAATTTTTTTTTTTTTCTAATAATAAGTCACTTGATAGTGTAACTAATCACGTTTAAAAGAATAATTTTAAATTTATTCCTCTCCCCCCTCCTCCCCCTCAAAAAAAAAACGAAAACTTTTCTTACCATCATAAATTTTTTATTACGATTTTAATACTCGAAAAAAAAACGTCATAATATAAATTTTTATTAATAAAATATAAATGACGTCAGAGTGATGTCATAGTTTATTTATTACGTAATCGTTTATAAAAAATTAAATTTAAGAAAAAATTCAAAAGCAACAGTATTTTTCCTAAAAAAAAAAAAAAATTTTTTTGTGTTATTTTCCGTTACGATTGATTCGTGCAGAAAATAATTAAATTCATTCATTCATTCATTCATTCATTCATTCCTTGATTACACCTATCAAAGAGTTTTTTTACTTTCGTTTTGATTTTAATTTATGTAATTAATATAACCGATTTTAATATAACCGAAGAGAAATAAAAATTAATAATTAAAATAAATAATTATATGTGTTTATTTGTGACGTGACGCGACGTGTATAATTAACCCCCCCCCCCCAAAAAAAAACTTTTCGTTTTTGTTATTTCGCGTGTGTGGTCTTAAATTTTAGCCTTTTTTTTAAACATAAAATCCGATACTCTTAAACCCCCCCTTTTTGTTGTAAAAAAAAAAAAAATTTAAACAATTAAAATTTGTTTTAAATATTTTTTATTTTAGTATTTAACCGGTTGATTTTTTTTTTTTTTTTTAAATAAATTTAAAATCCATTTAAATATTTACACGTGTCTGTTTGTTTTCCGTTTGTGTGTGAGGACACGTGGAAGTAGTAATAAATTTATTTTTACGCTTTTCATAAATATTAAAAGGAACGTAACCGAAAAAACAAAGGAAATCAATAAAATAATAAAATTAAAAAAAAAAAAAAAAAACATTTATTTATTTATATAAAAAAAAAAATTAAAAATAATATAAATGAATATTATTAAGGCAAGCTTTTTGTTTACAAAAAAAAATTGTTTTTATTTCAAACGCAATTAAATAAATTTTACATAATTAAAAATAATGATAATAAAAAAAAAAAAAACTTTTATATATATAAATTATTAAAATTTATTTTTTTATTTATTTTTCTTTTAAATTTTAATTAGCAAAAATTTATTTTATTTAATAAATTAGTTTAAAAAAAAAAAAAAGGCTAAATAAATCACATTTAGAAAAAAAAGGCAAAATAGTAAGGCAATATAATAAAAAGCATTTCTTATCATTATTATCATTAACAAAAAATAAAAGTTTAAACAAATACTGTGAATTATTTATATTTAAAAAATTTTTTTTTTTTTTTTTAATATTCGTGCAAGCTATAAACTAATTTTTTAAAAATTATTATTATTATTATTAAATGCACTTTTTGAATTTTTTTTTTTTTTTACACTAAACAGCATTTAAGTAATATTGTATATATTTTATTATTATTATTTTTTTAAAAAAAACTTATAATGATAATAAAAGCGTAAAATTTTTCATTATTATTAAAATATTTATGAAAAAAAAATTGTTTGAGAGAATTGTTGTTGTGGTTGTTTTAGGTTGTGGTTGTTATTGTTTTTGGTTGTTTTAGTTACAAAAAATTTATTTTTTAAATACATTTTTTTTTTTTTTTTATAAAAATTTATCAAGTAAAGTAAACAAAAAAAATTTATTTTAAAAATGTTTTTCTAAAAATTTTTTTTTGTTGTATATTTTTCGTTTCGTAGGCAACTGCGGTTTATATAAAAACAAATCGGCGATTTTATTTATTTATTTATTTATTTTTAATTACGACGAATAATAATAATGTTAATTTACGAACAAACAAAGGTTAACCTAGAAAAAGGAAAAAACATAACATTTAGGTGTGGTTTTGTCATAAAACAAAAAAAAAAAACGTTACAACATTTCCGTGTCTCTCGTTAAAATTGTAATAAAAAACAAAAAACCGTATGGGAAAACTAAAAAAAAAAAAAAAAAATTTCTTTTATGCGTTTATTATTTCCTGGATAAAATATAAAAATAATAATTTTTTAAAAAAACTTGCACTCTTTTTAACGAACGCACATGCACACGCACACGCACACAAAAGCAGACAAACAAACAAACAAACAAACAAACATACGCTAAAAAACTAATATTCGTAATAAATCATTCTCAACATTAATATAAAAATAATTTAAAAGCGAAGAAAAAAAATAATAAAAAATACTAATGATAATGATAATAAAATTTTTTTTTTTGTTATCAACAAAATTTTGCGCGCTTTTACATAATAAAAATAAATAATAATAATTAATTAATGAAAAAATAAAAAAAGAAGCAAATTATTAATAATTTTTTTTTTCCGTCTACTCTTCTACATTTAATAAATAATACATATGTAATAATACGTAAATATATATATATTATTTAATATATTATTATATTAATATAAGTGCAACACGTGACCGCACAAAAATAATATATTATTTATTTATATATATATATATATTTATGATTAAAAAAAAAAAAAAAAGTTACAGGTAACGGCAGTTAAATGCGTTGTTTTGTGTTGTTGCTGACATGGATGGATTTTTCCTATTTTTCTGGAATTTTCTCCAGCATCTTACATACCTCCCCAATTTAAAGCTTTCCGGTCTTGCAAAGAAATTTGTTTATTTTTTAAACGTGCGTTTAAAAAAAAATCAAATAAAAGGAAAAGAAAGAAAAAGAAAAATGTGAAAGAGAAAATAAAAAAAAAATTAATAATTTTTAATAAGAGAGAGAGATAGAGGGGGGGGAAAGGTTATATTAAATTTTTATTCGCTTTTGAAACTGACGATGGCATCGACGAGGAATACCAAACCGTTAATAACGGCAAGAGAACCCTTGGCAAGACCGATATCAGATAATTCCTTATCATATTTTTTATGTTGAAAATGATCAATGGAAAGAGCTCCTGATGCGACAAAAAGTGCACAACCGCAAATGCTGTAGAAAGCATCCTATAATTTAAAATTAATTAATTAATTTTTCCTTTTTCCTTTTTCCTTTGAAAATAGTTTTATTTTACTTACTATTCTTTTGCTTATAGGCATTGAAAATAAATATCCGGCGTAAACACCGATGAGTATGATAAGAAAACCGCAAAAGGTACCAGTTGATACTATGAGACCATATTTGTCGTTTGCTTCAAAACTATGGTAATGAAGACCGACACAAGTGATGGTGAGTAACTGTTAATATATATTAAAAAAATCAATTTATTTTAAACAAATTTTAACGTAATTTCGTGACGTCATTTCTCTTTAGACCTTCGCATAAACAAAAATGGCGGATTTTTTAAATTTAATTGAATTGTTTTCTACATTAACCGAATCTTTTTTTTTTTTTTTTTTCGTTTACTTATTTGCGTATTTGAAACATTCCAGAATAATTTTTATTAATGACGATAATAATAATAATAATAATTGACATTTTACCCCTTAAAAAAAATTATTATCGATTTTGTCTGAATGTTTTGGAAAATCCATTCGATCATTCATTCATTTAAATTCAAAACAAAACGATAAAAAAATTTTATTTTTTTTATGCATAATTTTCTTCTTCTTTTTCTTCTTTTTTATTTCAAACTTCCGTTTTAATTAAAAACAACAACAACAAACAACAACCAAGTAAAAAAAAAAAAAAAAAAACTTAATTTGAATGATGAAGAAATTTGAAAATTTTACACACGCGATGGTGTGAAAACGAAATTTTTACGTAGGATCAACTCAAAAAAAAAATTTTTTTAACGAATAAATATCGATACGTAAAAGGTACAATAATAATAATAATAATAATGATGATGATAATAATAATAAACGAAAGTAAAATCTAAAATGAAAGGTGAAAGTATCGTACGAAACAGAATGAATGAAAATAATAAATTATCGAAGGAAAAGAAGAAAGGGGGGAAAAAAACGATGATGATGATGATAATAATAATAAGACGGAGGGATATTATTGATTTTTATTATTATTATTATTATTGTGTTTTAAATTAACGAAACAAGAGTTTTTTTTTTAACATTAAAAAATTATTTTGTTGTTTTTATTAATTAATAAAAAAATTTTAGTAAATAATAATTAAATTTAACTTCCGGTTTCACACACACACACAAAAAAAACAAAATGACATTGGTTTGTGTTGAGTTTTTGAACTTGATAAAAAATTATTAATTAATTACTTTTTATATAAATAAAAAAAAAGGAACAAACAAAGAAACAAACAAACAAAAAATTTTTTTTTATTTTATTACGAACCTCAAAAAAAAAAAAAAAATGGATACGAATCGAGTGTGTGTCACGGTCAACAAGTTAGTCAAACCACAAAAAAAAAAATTTTACGAAAAAGAAATTTTCTTTTTGTCGAAAAATAAGTTTTGCCATTTTTTGTTATTTTTTAATGAAAAAATTTGAAACCGGATGACTTTGAAAAATAGGAAGAAAAGGAGAAGGGGGAGGAAGGCGGGATAAAATAAAATCACAATCGGTTTATTATTATTATCTTATGACCTAATATTTTCATCCGTTTTCTCAGTATTGTTATGAGAAAATCAGGTCTCGGTAACTCACGAACGTATTTTTAGATTGTTTCTATCATTTTTTTTTTCTAAATACACTTTAAACTTCGTATTTCCTCCATCTTTTTCCCGCCATCGAATGTTCCAGATGTTTTAAAAAAAAAAAAAAAAAAGAAAGACGCAAAAAAAAATCACATTAAGAAACTAACATGTGTAAAACTTATGATTATTATTATTATTTATTTATTTAACAGGGAAAAGTCATTTGATAATTTTTTTTTAATTTTATGCGCGAAACGTTTCATTAATAATGATAATAATAATAATAATAATAAAAGTAATAAATTCCTGAACGCAAACTAAAAAAATCATTTTCGTCATATTTATTTTTAAATCTTAACGCATTACGACATTTTTCTTTTTTTTTTTTTTTTTTTACTTTATAATTAGGTAATACTTTAGTAATGATGTTCAGTAGTTGTTGTTTGTTGTAGTCGACTAAAAATAATTTAAAACTACTCAAGGTTTCTGAACAAAAAAAAAAAAAAAAAAAAAAAAAACATCACCTCTCGAAAAAAAAAAATTGGGCCCTTTTTTTCTTTTTTATTGGTTTCCGGATTTTTTTTTTTTTTTCAAATAACCCAAAACCGCCCTACTTTTCGGATGTTTGCCATCGAAAATAAAAAAAAAAAAAAAAAAATTCAGGGTTAACAACCAAAACTTCTTTCAAATAAAAAAAAAAAAACAATAATTTTAAGTTGTCGGCCTTGAAACATATATATATACAATTTAACATATGAAAATAAATTAACGCGGCGTATAAAATGCGTTTTTTTTTTTTTTTTTTAGTTTCATCTTTTTTTTTTTTTTTCGGTTTCATTTTTTTGACGTGATGATATTAATTATTATTATTATTATTTAATGAAAATTGTACGATCGTTAAGTATATAGTGAAACCTTTTTTATTTTTTGTTAATGACGGTAATACAAACTGGAGAAAACTTTAAAAAATTTTATTTTTACGTTCGAAATTATTCGAGGGGTTGTTTTGTTTGTACGAGCGAAGGGTAATTTAATAAGTTTTTGTAATTAAAATACGAGATGATTAATAAAATGATAGAATATCAAGAGAAAAAACAAATAATAATAATAATAATAATGGGAAAAAGAGGGGTTCCGAAAGGGAAATCCATTTGTCTTCTACACGACAAAAACAAAAAAAATAATCAAAAAGTCGTTATAAAAATTTGTTTTTTTATTTAGTAGTTTCATAAGTTAGCTAGTTAGCTAGCTAGCTAGCCAGCTAGCCATTCACGCAAAATAATGGTAGGAACAAAAAAAAAAAAAAAATGAAAAGAATGAAAAAAAAATTCAGTCATGCGCTTCAACGTGGCCTCATTTTTTTTTTTAGTTTGACATTAACTCGTCGGCTAAAAGGAAATTATCACGATTGAACACCCAGAAAACAACAAAAAACGTTTTTTCCTTATAAAGTTTAACCTTATTTTTAAATCCCACATGAAATTTTAGTAAGTTGAACAAAAAAAAAAAAAAATGGCAACCGCACGATGAACTTTTCAAAAGAAAATCATTCTGTTCCCGTATAAAATTCATAACAAAAAATGGGAATTTTTTTTTTTAAACTGGAGAAATATTTTTTGTTTTTGAACGAAATACAAAAATAGAAATTATTAATAATTTCTTCTTCTTCTACTTAATATCATCATCATCATCATCATAGTTATTATTATTATTATTAAATTTCAGTTATGTTTTGTAGAAGTGCAGGTACTTAATTTAAAGCGCCATTAAATCTCCACTCTAGAAAATGGGGGGCTTACAACCTTCGTTATATATTATCATAAAAGCCTTGACTGAAGGCGTTTCTTCTTCCACGGGTAATTAAAGAGAGGTTTTTTCTAAAAAAAATTTCAAGCGTAAGGTTTGACCTCGTTTTTTTTTTCGTTAAAAAAAATATTTTTTTTTTTTAATGAAACGAAAACTTTTTTTTTAAAATTTTTTTCCTAAATTCTTTAGCCAAAAAAAATGGGGAAACGATTCCAGAAATTAATAATAAATTATACGGAATTACAAAAAGACATATTTTTTCATATTTTTTCCCATGTGAGAAAGTTTAATGACCTTTTAACCTTTTATAAAAGCATAACGATCGCATATATATAATTAATTAATTAATTAATTAATAAATACTCACCAATTCTAATATTTTAAAAAAAGAAATTTTTGCCGCGGTGAAAACAGCCATTTTTGTTTGTTTTTTAAATTTTTTTTTTCTTCTTTTAATTTAACGGGAAAAAAATTTTAATCTGAAAATAAAAAAAATATTTCATTATTATTATTATTATTATTATTGATGTGCAGAAAATTAAAAAAAAAAAAAAAATTTCTTTTCTTGTCAAAATCAAAAAAGGTCAATAAAAGTGTTTCTAAAAATAAATAAATTATTATAATAAGTAGGGAAAAATAATAATAATAATTTTTTTAAACTGACTTTCTAATTCCACTTTTTTTTTTCTTTTTTAATGTTTCGGTATTATTAACGTGACGTTTTATTATTACACGGTAATAAAATATGGCCGCCGCGACAAACGACAAACGAAAAAAAAAATAAATAAATTATGAATTTTTTTATGTTTTTCGCAAACGGAAGCATGTTAACGTTTATTTATTTATTATTATTATTATTATTATTAATATTATTTATTTATTTTTTTATAAATAAAATTATGTGGATTAATTAATAAGGAATTCTTTCACGATCGATCGCACCTTATTATTTTTACAATCCTCGTCATCATCCTTTCCGTTGTTTGTTTCCACCTCCTTGAGAAAATTACGTAATAAATTTTTTACAAACGTTTATTAATTATAAATACTTTTTCAATCCCGTGCGTATAAATAATAATAATAATAATTTTAATTAATATTTTACACCGTTTGTGTATTTAAGTGTGGGTGTGCGTGTGTGAGTGTGAACATCATCTTTTTACTCCTCTTTTCTTTTTTTTTTTTTTTTACATCCTTAATAAATTTTATTTAAATTGAAATTTTTACGCGGGAATTTGACGTTAATTAATTTTTAACTTATTAATACCAAAAAATTTAATAAATACATAAATAAAAAGTTAATAAATAAGTAAATAAAAAGTTAATAAATAAATAAATAAAAGGTTAATAAATAAATAATTTAAAAATTTTATTTTCATTCCGAAAAAGAAAAAAATCAGGGTCGGGGAAAAAATTATTATTATTGTTATTATTTACAGTATCATTACCGATTTTATTTTAATATCATTATTAAGACTATGGAAAAAAATAATAAAATTTATATTCAAAATCGATATTTAATAACACTCGATCGATCGATCGATCGATCTATCGATTGATTGATTTATTCGTGTCAAAATAAAAAATAAAAAATTCTTTTAATGTTTCCCTAAATAAATAAATTATTATTATTACTTTTTTTGCACGTTATTAGGAATTAAATTATTTTTTTTTTCAGAGAGTTCATTGCCTGAAAAAACGATAATAATAATAATAGTAATAATAATAATAATAATTACCACTCATACGAATATTATTAATAAAAAAATTTATTTTTTATTTTGTATTCGTATTCAAATTCAATGACCCCGAGGTGAAAAAGAAAGTTTTTTTTTTTAGTTCTAATACAAAAATCGATAATAATTTTTTTTATATACCATTAAAACTCT